GGCCTCATCCTTGTTGCGTAGATTCAACGACAGCCTTTTGTGAATGATCTTGTATTTTTTTTTTTTACAGCGCGACTTGGTTTGCGAAGAATGTCAGTTCGCTGCTCAAGAGCTGAAACATGCCATAGAAGATGAACAAAGTCAGAAGCGTGTAAAACGATTCATCTCGGAAGAAGTTTGTAGCCGACTGGGCAAACTGCAGGGCAAAGTAAATGTGCACTCCGTTTGAACTATATTTTTTTGGATTTTAAAGCTTTTTCCGGGTTGAAATTAGTTGTAGAAATTTGCGCTAAAACTTCCTTCCCCATTTGTTCGATAATTAAGTCTTTAAATGCGATTGCAGTGCGATCTTCTCCTCGAAGAATTTATGCCGGAACTCATTGAAGAGCTCGATAAACTGCTTCAAAATACAAAAACCGTATGTTTTCAATGAATTTTCTTTATTTGATTGTGTTGAGAAGCATGGGTTCGACCCACGTAGGGCAGTTATAAATAATTTACCGTTACTCGAGTTAAAAAAAAATGTATACCATTCTCATGAATTGGGTATCCTGCGTTTTTGATGGATGCAAAAACACATATTGACAGGTGATTGTTGAAGTATTTTTACGTGCGCGTATCTGTGTTCAGATTTTGTCATCCACTTTCAAATTCACAGTCGAAGAAGCTGAAATTTTACGAGGATCTCCTGATCCATATTGTCCACGCCAACAAAGAAATAACTTTTATTTACGCCTGTGCCTCACGTGGGCGCGCCTGAAAAAAAGTGTAAAAAAATTTTGAAGGAAACATAATTTTAAGGATCTGACAAATTTCGGAACACCTTGATCAGAAATCGGGTTTAGAGGTTTTCTTTTTTTAAAATAATCATGCATTTTAAAAAAATACGTAATAATGAGCCTTTTGGCGTTTGACCTGTGTTTACGTGTGTATTTTTTGAGATAATTTACTTTCTAAAATAAGTAGGAGAGCTTGAAGTTCGAGAATCCAGTGAGGACTCAAAATTGGCTTTTTATGTTTTCTTCGGATTCGTAACTCAGATGCAAATTCAGCCCAATATTACAACGGGAAAGAGTAGCCCAAGTGTTTTGCTACACAGTACTGAACAGTAACCAGAAATCAGCCATCTTCGCTGTCTTTAAACAGTTTTAATTTTAGTGTGAAGTTTTTATAAATCTGGGAGGGATTAATTAAATAACTGGTATCAGCAAGT